CTCATTTCAACAATATTGAACGAAAGGGCTTATGAAGAACTTCAGTTAATCGTTTGCTCACTGGGTAAGCACGTGGGAAAAGGCACTGAAAAATTAGGCATCGTCACCATTATGTCCAAATCCCTTCCACCCCCCCCCCCCCCGCCCCTTAAAATTCCTTCTAGGGTCTCTGCCCCCATGTACAGCTTTTGGTTCTTCAGCTCACATAGGATTGGGCCAACTGACCCTACTTGCCTTTTCCAGCACAAATACCCAATGGCTTTGGCTGGCCCCAGCCCTGTGACTTCAACAAGCCACACAATGGCAATTATTGAGGAGAAACTGATATATGAATATTAGGGATGGGCTTCGTGCAGATTTCCAGTCTGCACAGCCACCCGCAGAACTATCCCCCTAGTGGAGATGAGAGGGTGGAGTGGGTTGAGATTAAAAGAGGGGGATGGTTTCAAAGTTACTAGCAAGTTTTGGTTGGGGGACTTCCTGATTCATGGGGCCAAACTAGATATTACAGCGGCCACGGGTCTCACCTATGCCCACTGACACCATTTTAGAGAAGAATTTGGCCATTTACAAATGCTCTTGAGAGTCCCTTGGACTGCAAGGAGATCAAATCAGTCAATCCTAAAAGAAATCAACCCTGACTGTTCCCTGGAAGGCCAGATAATGAAACTGAAGCTCAAATACTTTGCCCAACAAATGAGAAGGGAGCACTCACTGGAGAAGACCCTGATGCTGGGAAAGATTGAAGGTCAAAGAAGATGGGGACGGCAAAGGATGAGATGGTTAGACAGTGTCATCGATGCAACAAACATGAAATTGAGCAAACTTCAGAGGACGGCGGAAGACAGAAGGCCTGGCATGATCTGGTGGTCCATGGGGTTGCAAAGAGTCGGACTCGACTGTGCGACTGAACAACAAATGCCATGAAGGCCCACTTGGGTCGACAGTGCAGCAAGGCAAGGCAATTTCCCCCCCAGTGTCTTTTCAAGTGCCAAAACAGCCGTGCTTGTGGCTGTGGGAGTGTGTAACCATTTTGACACTTGATAAAGCACGGGAGGGGGGAGAGGGGGACAAAAGCGCCCAAGCTGCACTGTGGGCCTGATCAGTGGCATTTTAAAAAAGGCAGCACCCTCCCTACTACGTGGCAGACACAAGAGTGCCACCACGTTTAGTTTAGCCCTTGGCAGACTGAGTATTTGCCACGAATCTGTTAAAATCACAAATCTGTCAGCTAAGGAGGAAAGGGAGTAAGCCAACAGTGGAGAAGGAACATGCAGGATCATTTATACTCTACAGTAGGGGTGGGAAGCAGGATTAGCATCAGGTCTGCAGGCCATGTGACCAGTGTTCCCTCTAAGCTGAGTTGGTGTGAGCTAGCTCATGGTTTTTTAGTCCCCAGCTCACAGATTTTTTTCTGAGCTCAGCAAGGAGGGCTCCAGAGCAAGCTAATTGATGCAGTAGCCAAATCGCTCACTCACAGCTTTAATGCCAGTTGCTCACAAAGCACAATTTTTGCTCACAAGACTCCACAGCTTAGAGGGAACATTGCATGTGACTAACAGCAACTCCTCTGGACAGTTTCCCACTTCGCAGCCGTGAGACCCCCTTTCCCCACTTGGCTCAAGATCTGCTGCCCTCCACCACAGACCGCCCCCCCCCACTTGGAGTCAAACTAAGTTCCTTGCAGCTGTAAAACAAAAACCAGGCAATTCAACTCCAGCCAGCCTTCATAATGAAGATTGTAGCTTGTAAAATCAGATACTTCCAGTAAAGTCAACATTCCTCCTGTGTTGCCTGGGAGAAAGATCAGAGCACATCCATTGGGAACCCTGCTTTATAGCTTGGCACAAATATAAATAGCTTTTCATCCTCGGATTCTCTCCCTCCTCATCTACAGGAGGGGAACACTTGGCCGACTGCATCTCTGACCGCAGTGCGGTTGCTCAAGGCCTTGCTGGGAACAGGAAGATCCCAGCTGTGATTGGCAAACTTTGCTGGAGTAACTATGCACCCTATTTTGGAGTGCCTATTGGTGTGAGGGATATCTACAATGTACTTTTTGGTGAAGAAATCCCGATGAGCGTCTTCAGTGAGTCAAGTCACGTTTGCTCTGCTTGGGCAGTGGGGTAACACAAATGTCATGTTTGATATAAAAAGATACACTGGATGCCAAAGCATATGTTCTCCACCTCCAGGAAACAGCACAGTGGTAGGTCTCACCCTGCACAATTCTTTAAAAGGACAGGAGCCCTTGCAGTGACCTGAACTTAACACCGAAGTAGACTTCTCTGTTTACGTGTAAAAATGTATCCCACCCTTCAGGGTGGGTACACGGTTCCCTCCTCCCACATTTTGTTCTTACAGTGCTAGACAGATTAGGTTGAGTGTGTAACTGCGCCAAGGTCACCTGGTGAGCTTCATGATTGGAGCGGATAGTTGAACCTGCGTCTCCCCCTCTATTAATCCAACACTTTAATGCTAGGCCACACTGCTTCTTAAACCTTAAATCCTCTTGCCGGCTTCCCAACATCTATTTGTCCACATACTTGACATGTTCCTTCTTTGCCAGCTCAAGTCCATACTGAACATAAAGCTTCTTAACTCATGAAAAATTTGAAGGGGAACCAAAATTAGGCAAAAGCATGCTAGTTCAACAAGGGGGACGCAGAAAATATGTCAACACCCGCGAATTATGAAGCTGCCTCATAGACAGAGCGTTGGTCCGGGTAGCTCAATACATTCTCCGGTTTGGGTGCCCTCAGCTCTCCGGGGTTCTTCCATCCAGAGAGGACTTGTGGCTGCTGTGAATCCAGAGGCATTTGCAGCAGCAATGGAACCTTCACACGGCCATTTTCTCCGTGCCTTCGTTGCCTCAGCCCCCCCCCCCAGCTGTCGTTCCTCGCCCACAGGACTTCTTAAAAAAATTAGTGATTGAGCTGCGGTGGTTCAAGTGGTTAAGACGCAGGCTGTGGAAGGTCGGTAGTTCAGCAGTTTGAGACCCGGGTGCCGCATGACGGAGTGAGCTCCCGTCTCTAGTTCCAGCTCCTGCCAACCTAGCAGTTCGAAAGCAAGAAATCGCAAGTAGATAAATAGGTACCACTTCGGTGGGAAGGTAACAGCGTTCCATGCGCCTTGATGTTTAGTCATGCCGGCCACATGACCACAGAAACGTCTTCGGACAGCGCTAGCTCTTCGGCTTTGAAACGGAGATGAGCACCGCAACCCTAGAGTCGGACTCGACTGGCTTTCGAGCAAGGGAACCTTTACCTTTACAATACAATAAGATTTTAACGGGATGACGTTATGAGGCTGTTCCCTTCCCCCCCACACACTGCCAAAAAACCCCAACCTTGCTCCAGTGAGAATGCCAAACCAGAACAAAACTTCCACACGGAAGCAGCTCAAGTCTCCTCCAGATGATCTGCGACTTGGAAGTTTTTTGAATTGGAGACGCTAGAAACGGAGCGTAGGCTCTTTTGCATGCCAAGCATGACCCCTCCCTTCCTTACACCCTTACAAAACTCAAAAGCACGAGCTGATTAGAAGAAAGACACAAAGTTTATTTATTACAGGCATAATCATGTGAAACAGGAGACAAGGACACCCTTGACGGATATATGGCTGCCCTTCATTTACACAATTTTTCAATTTTTCCTTCTGCTGGCATTTCGACACACAACATTTAAAGCACTTCTGGTGGGCAGGCCTTTAGCAAGAGCTTTGAGGTCTGTCTGACTCTGTAATTTTGGATGAGCCTGTCGAGAACCCTTTTTTCCGATTCAGCATTGACCTGGTTAAGGATGCTAGAAGAGAAATTTGTTGTCTTGGAAACGGCCACCACAGAGTACGCTTCCTGTTGCTGTGGATGATTTCTTTGCCACACTACGGGCATAAGCACCGTTCTTACCAAAGGACAGGAAACGGGAGAGGAGCATTTAACAAAAATCGTATGTTTCAGGCAGAACACATATCATATCTGCAGGGAGCCCAAAGGGGCTTTCCAATATTAACGTGTGAAAACAACCTCACAGGGTGGCGATTCGACATGCAACCCCAGGCAGCCATGCAAAGTTTGCTGAGTGACAAATTGGAGTTCCTTGTTCCTTTCCAGCTAGCACGGGCATGCACCAAGGCAGACAAATGCAGACATGGCTATTGCAAGGGCACAAAAAGGCAAAGACCTTTCGCCCTGTAAACTTTAGTCTGCTGAAAATTAACTGTGTGAAACCAGCCCTTCCATACAAGAGAGGGTCTCGGCATAAGAGTCTGCAGGGGGCACAGTATCTGGACGGTGGATAGTAAACAGCAGCAGTTTGAAACCAAACCTGAATTGGAATTACCACCTGTTTTCCTGGCAGTGTTACTGTGTCTTTAAAATGACATGATTCACAGTTAAGTCCTCTGGTGAAACATTTCATCCCTGCTTCACAGACTAGGGGAAGCTTGCCTGAAGAGATCCTATCTGAAGAGCTGCTAGGAAGCAGAAAAAAACAAACAGCCATCCTAGTTTGAATTATTGTTAACACTCAAAGGCCAGTGCGCAAGGCCAGGGGGACCCTGCTTTTCAAGCTAAGCATGTAAACTCTAACCATTCTCTCTCTGAAATGCATTGGAGCAGGTAAAGTTCCTGGGAGTAAGGCAAACTTCCTGGGAGTAAACTGGGAGTAACCTAAACTTCCATCACCATTATTCACACTGGATGCAAAGATTATGAAAATACTAGGCACAAATACAGATATACGTGGCCAAGCATGAAGCCCGATTATTAGCCACTACAAAAGAGTTAATATTATTGTTCACAAAGCTCTAGTTCCACTTACTGACAATCGGAGAAAAATGAAAAACAAACAAAGATAGAGTCAAGAACAAAAAGGCACCAGTTAGGATTCCAATTTTTAATTCTGTGTTGCTCATGCAAATATCTATCTGTATGTGTGTGTGTGTGTGTGTGTGTGTGTGTGTATATATATATATAATATATATATATATAAATTCAAGGGATAGTCATCTAAAAATAAGAGGATTTTATTTTTTAAAAAGCACACATTTATTTTATTTAAAAAACATACAAATAAAAAGGCAGATCCAGAGGCATTTTCAAGTGCTTACAGAAGGCATTTTTTGTTAGTCTGCACACAAAACAAAAGCACTCGAGAATGGCTGAACATCGTAGCTACAAGCATATTGTTCCCATAACTACTCTGTGTTCATTCCTTCTCTACTTGCTGAGCAAGGCAGGAGGTGGAAAGTTCCACTTCTGATTCACCCCTGAGAGGCTGCTTCCCAGGAGGAAAAATGTTATGATGTTTGCAAAAAGTCATCTGTGCCTGTTTCACAGAGACGCTGTGGCATTCTCCAGCCGTCAAAGGCAGGCAGATCTTAAAACTCTATTTCTTTCTCTCAGAACAGACTGATTGAAAGACCGAATTTTCTGACGACACAGTCTAAAATCAAAGCATAATTTGTTCAGATAAACAGCAACGGGATACAGGTCGCCAACAGACACAAATCACAGGACGCGCGTCTATGTGGAAAGCGAGACATAACTATTCATTCCCCCATTCTTTTCCTCTCTGCAACACAGCCTTGCCCTTTTAAGGAATCTGGCCTCCTTCACTGCTAGCGTTTAGTCCCCACGATGCCTTGCAGCATGTCTATGGGCAATGGGAAGACAATCGTGGAGTTCTTTTCAGCAGCGATGGTGGTCAGGGTCTGGAGGTAGCGGAGCTGGAGGGCCGCGGGAGACTCCGAGATGACGATGGAGGCTTCCTTCAGGGCTCTGGAGGCATTCATTTCACCCTCTGCCGCAATTACCTAGAAGGAAGGCAGTCACAGATATCTGAGTACCTACGAAGCCACCTTCAACCCTAATATCGTCTACTCAGGCGGGCAGCAGCTCTTCAAAGCCTGACACACCTTGTACCAGAGGACATGGCTCCGTACCACAGCACCGGCTTTCCACACACAGAGTGCCGGGTTTTGTCCCTGGCATCTTCACTGACAGGATCACAAGTAGCAAGGTGATGGAAGAGACCGCTCTGTGCCTGAGATCCTGACAGTTTTGAGCCAGATGGACTGATGCGACTCAGTAGAAGGCAACGACACATACTCATCTGTTTTAACTAGTGGTGCTAGAGACTCTCTGCATGCAAGGCATGCCCTCCATGACTGTACTATGGACGACAGCATTACAAACCAAAGGTCTCAGACAGCGCACTGGAATGCCTGTATTTTGACAGTAAAGGGCACTGTCTGTCTATAGATGCTCTCTTCATCTTCTAAAAATAAACTGGAGCCAGAAATTATTTCCAGGCAAGAGAACAATGCAACACACAGAACTATTAACTAACTGGGATAAACACAAGAGGGAGAACTGGCGGAGGATGATCTTATTGGATTCCAAGGGGATAACATTAAAACAATTATTTTTTTTGAAAATTCAAACAAAAACAGTCAAAGTAGCAGGGGGTCATGTCACGTGCTCCCTCCTGCCCACACTGCTTTCCACTCTGCCAAAATTAATTCCGTGAGTGATCCATTAAAAATGTTTTAGTGAAGCCGTGCTCTGCCGTCCTGATGGCACGACACCGCCTCAAAATGTAGCACTTATATCTCACTTTCCTTAAGTTTGTAACATTTGCTTCTGAGCAAAATAGATCAAATCAAAAATATATTACATTATTGCAAAATGTATTAAATTAAAAGAACACCGTTAAGTGAATTAAAGACAGGTTGGAAACGGATCTTATGGGCTGCATTCGCTGCTGCTACAAAGGGGAAAAAACCAACAGGAGGTAACTAAACAAACTAGAAGGAAATGGCCAGGGAAAGGCTGATTGCCACTTTGGCGGTCAGGAAACAAATTTTCTCCAAGCCGGTTTGGCTGGGGATCCTGGAGGTTTTTTGTCGTCTTCTGGGCGTGGAACAGCCGTCATTGCGGGTGTGGAGGGGGAGGTATTTGTGAATTTCCTGCCTTGTGCAGGGGGTTGGACTAGAAGACCCTTGCAACTCTATGATTCTGTGAGGTCACAATCAATGCAAGAGGAGCCTTCCTGATCGGATTAGTGGCCCACCCACTTCAGCATCCTGTTGACTGCTGTGGTCAACCAGAGACCTATGAATGCACGCAAGGTGGCCATGGAGATGCCCTAACCTAGATAGCTCATGCAAGCCTGATCTAGTCAGATCTCGGAAGCTAAGCAGGGCCAACCCTGGCAAGTATTTGGATGGGAAACCCCCAATGAATACCAGGGCCGGGAAGCAGAGGCACAAAATGCAAAAATACCCCCCCCAAAAGGAGGCCATGGAGACCAAAGGCTTGATTTCCTGCTCTCCCCTCCAGCACTGGGTATTCAGAGTTACTCTGCCCCAGAAGATGGAGGGAAGATCTCAGTGAACTAACAAATCTGTACAGGAGAAAACAGTGCTGTTATATCGAGATGGGTAGCCATGTTAGTCTGTCTGTGGCAGTAAAAAGAGCAAGTCCAGGAGCACCTTAAAGACTAACAAAATTTGCAGCAGGGTAGGTGCTTTCGTGAGTCACTGCTCACCATTGGTATCTGAAGAAGTGAGCAGTGACTCATGAAAGCACATAACCCTGCCACATATTTTGTTAGTCTTTAAGGTGCTCCTGGACTCTTGCTCTTTTCTAGTATTGTTATATGTGTAGGATGATTATGGAAGGTTCACCTGTCCACTGCAGAGGATTCTAGGGGGGTGTTGTAAAATGTATGCTCACGTGCTGGCCAGGCCCCACAACCACATTATATGAACGAAGTATATCCACAGGATTGGAAAAAGTCAGTATACATTCCAATCCCAAAGAAGGGCAATGCCAAGGAATGTTCAAACTATTGCACAATTGCAGTCATATCACACGCTAGCAAGGTCATGCTCAAGATCCTACAAGCTAGGCTTCAACAGTACGTGGATAGAGAACTGCCAGAAGTACAAGCTGGGTTTCAAAGAGGTAGAGGAACTAGAGATCAAATTGCCAACATTTGCTGGAGTATGGAGAAAGCAAGAGAGTACCAGAAAAACATCTACTTCTGCTTCATTGACTATGCTAAAGCCTTTGACTGTGTGGATCACAACAAACTATGGCAGGTCCTTAAAGAGATGGGAGTACCAGACCACCTCACATGTCTCTTGAGAAACCTGTATAAGGGTCAAGAAGCGACAGTAAGAACCGGATATGGAACAACTGATTGGTTTAGTATAGGAAAAGGAGTACGACAAGAATGTATATTGTCACCTTGCTTATTTAATATATATGCAGAGTACATCATGCGAAATGCTGGCCTGGATGAATAACAAGTGGGAATTAAGATTGCTGGGGAAAAGGTCAACAACCTCAGATATGCAGACGATACCACTCTGATGGCAGAAAGTGAAGAGGACCTAAAGAGCCTCTTGTTCAGGGTAAAAGAGGAGAACGCAAAAGTGGGCTTGAAGCTTAACATAAAAAAAACTAAGATCATGGCATCTGGCCCCATCACTCCTTGGCAAATAGAAGGGGAAGTCATTGAAGTAGTGACAGACTTCACGTTCCTGGGATCCCAGATCACCGCAGACTGTGACAGCAGCCATGAAATTAAAAGACGCCTGCTCCTTGGGAGGAAAGCGATGGCGAACCTAAACAGCATGATAAAAAGCAGAGACATCACCCTGCCAATAAAAGTCAAAGCAATGGTATTCCCAATAGTTGTGTATGGCTGCGAGAGTTGGACTATAAGGAAGGCCGAGCGCCGAAGAATAGATTCTTTTGAACTATGGTGCTGGAGAAGACTCTTGAGAGTCCCTTGGACTGCAAGGAGATCAAATCAGTCAATCCTCAAAGAAATCAACCCTGACTGTTCCCTGGAAGGCCAGATAATGAAACTGAAGCTCAAATACTTTGGCCACCAAATGAGAAGGGAGCACTCACTGGAGAAGACCCTGATGCTGGGAAAGATTGAAGGTCAAAGAAGACGGGGGCGGCAAAGGATGAGATGGTTAGACAGTGTCATAGATGCAACGAACATGAAATTGAGCACACTTCAGAGGACAGCGGAAGACAGAAAGGCCTGGCGTGACCTGGTCCATGGGATCGCGAAGAGTCAGACTCGACTGTGCGACTGAACAACAACAACTATGAAATATCTTAATATTGTCCATAACAGTCAGAATCCACAACTGTCCTTGGAAAGCACCTGGTCAGATAGTGTGAGATCATCTGTCTACTTAGCATAGTGAAAAATAAGTTATCCAGTACAGATGGATTGTCTTTCCAGCACCCTCCTGCTCTGTCAGCCTGCACCCACCTTCCCTCTCAGGCTTCTGTAGTCATTGGGTATTAATACTTCAGGTCTCTCTAAAATGGCCAATTGTTTGCCTAAGAGGATGGTGTTTCATCTGACATAGCCTTTTTGTGGTCTGGGACTGAAATTTCTGAACACCATGGCATGATATCATGGCACCAGCTGTATCAATGACCAGGAGGGTGTGGAAATGGTTCTACCAGGCTGTCTGGTTTAAGGAGAAAAAAGGGAGCAGATACTTGCTTGGTGTGATACTTTTTAGGGCATGTCTTGGAAGGTTGCCCAACGTCTTGGAAGGTTGTTAGCTGTTTTCAGTGTTCAGGATTGCTTTGTTTGTGGTTATTTCTCCACAATAGAATGGCTACAAACACCTGGAATTGAATACCTGCTCCAGAGATCTCATTATCTATTTTCCCTTAAGCAATGAGTCACCGTGTTTCATTTATGTGAGCTGAGTTGACTGCCAAAATACAGACAACGGCCGGAGGGAAGAGCCGCGCGCCGGCGCGATCACACCAACCAAATCTGTCAGCAGCCCGTGGCAAACCGGTTGCTAGTACTTGTTAGCAGGTACTTTTTAACTGCGGGTTTTTGGTGGGAAGCCACGGGTGCGCTACATTTGCCAGATGTGGCGGTGTGATCACGCATGGATAATCCACCCAGCATCCGTGGCTCTCCCACGGCAAATTCACCGTGTGGTTATTGCTTTGTTTATACTGTAAACTACCTTAAGTTCCATCAGGCAGAAAGGTGGTTAATAAACATTTTAAATAAAATAAGAAACACACAAACTCTCCTACCTTGGCTCTCGCCTCCCGGGCTGCTTCTGCTTCAGCGGCCATTGCTCTCTGGAGCTGGATGGGCAGCTTCACGTCTTTGATCTCCACGCGCTCCACTTTTATCCCCCAGTCATCAGTGGCATCATCGAGGGTGTTCTGTTAACAATGTGAAATAGAAGCCACTTCAAGCAACCATAAGGGACTGAAACAGAGGTTGCAGGCAGTGTTCACTCTAAGCTGAGTTGGTCTGAGCTAGCTCACAGTTGTTTAGCCTCTGGCTCACAGTTTTTTGTCTCAGCTCAGGAAGTACGGCTCCAGAGCAAACTGATTTCTGCAGTATGCAAATCGCTTGCTCACTACTTTAATGCTGTTGGATCCCCAAGCATCGAGAATAAATCCACGTTTTCAGGAAAAGCAAAATTTATTTCAAAGCGTTGAAGACATACTCAAACACGTTCTTTGTTAGAACTGGGGTTACACAGTTAGGGCAAGCATAATAAAGGAACTTCAAACAGATACAGATCCAATGAATAACTTTCCCGCTGGCGGGCTAGTGAAACGGTTGCGCGCCCAGTCCATGGGAATCAGGCAGAACATCAGACAAAACACAGGTGCATTAGTCATGGGAAAAGCATTAGGCAAGCGTCTCCCCCACACAACCCCCAGCAGTTATCTTTTGCATTCCAACGCAGGAGCAGGATGATAGAAACCAAGCCGGGTGCAACAGGGAAGGATATGTACACAGAGGTCACAGAACACAGAATGGCAGCTTGCTGACAAATGCCCGTAGCTCACAAGGTAGAATTTTTGCTCACAAGACTCCACATCTTAGAGGGAACATTACAGGAACTATGAAGATTAAATGCAGCTCAAGTGAATCAAGCCACTTCTCTGAACGACCTCCGTGCCCCAGTAGGAGTCGCCAGAGGCCGCCATGACTTCTAAGCACGGGCACACACGCACACACAAATGCAAAAATAATTATGCAGTATTAGTATCAACCCCCCCCCCCATCCTGAACAATATTTTTCAGAGAGCCATATCAACATAATGCACTTTCAACTTCCTATGTCAAACAGGGATTTCATGGTGTAACACTCCGGGGACACAGAGTTTAAACATCATTTAGCCATACCTGCATGCTGTGTGCAATTTCTTCCCGGTCAGAGAGGATCTGGGAGAGGTTCTTGGTACCCAGAACGTTCCTCAGGGTGGTTTGGGCCAAGAGCCGAGTGGCAGAATCAGCATTGGTGATGTTCGCTACAGCAAGGGTTGCATTCTGAACTCGGTAATAAACCACACCATCCACATTAACTGTTACTGAATCTTTGGTAAGGATCTGTGGCAGGAGGAGGGAGAAAATACAGTGTAAGAATTATGATTTTTTAAAAAAAGCAAAATAATCAATTCAAAGCATTCAGCTTGTAGCAGCAATCAACAGCACGTTGTTCGTAACCACTAGCCTGTCCACTAGCTCGTCACCAAGTAATGTATTAACCAGCATTATTGCTTTCTTGATACACATTTGCTCATGTCCTGGGTTGTGCTACACCTGTATTATCACTTGGCTTGTAAGGTTATCGGTACAGGGCAGACTTGTGTACAGATGGCTAAATTAATTGGAGAATAAAGTGTTCAGCGATAGATTAAAGGGCATTGAGAATAACACTGAACTCTATTTTATGGCCCCATGCCATCTGTTATGCCAGTATTCCCAGTTACATGGCAGCAGAGCTCACTACTGAAGATCTACAAACTGAAGCAAAGGAACTTTTCTTGTAGGGACCATGCATAAGAACATAAGAGATGCCAATGTTGGATCAGGCCAAAGGCCCATCCAGTCCAACACTCTGTATCACAGTGGCCAGAAATACCAGTGCTATCAGGAGGTCCACCAGTGGGGCCAGGACATTAGAAGCCCTCCCACTGTTGACCCCCCCAAGCACCAAGATGACATAGCATCACTTGCCCCAGAGTCCCTATCTATACCTTGTGGCTAATAGCCACTGATGGACCTCTACTCCATATGCTTATCTAATTCCCTTTTGAAGCCGTCCATGCTTGTAGCTGCCACCACAATTACAGCATTTGGCTGGCAGCTTGCAATTTTTCCAACCAGGATCTTTGATGCTTGGGGCTGAGAAGTTCATTATGTGGTCTGTGGAATTTTAAAAACTGATGTCCTAGTTGAGATGTAAACAACCTCTGATGGGGATTGCATCATCTCCATTTTTCTCTTACTTTAGCCAAGCAAACAGTACTTCGGCAAGCTTCTCCATATCCTCTGGTGGCATAGGTTAGCTTTGGTTATTCTTGCAAGCCAATCAGCTGCCCAAGTGTTGCACATTGTAGCTCGCCATTGGTTTGCCTGCTCTGATGTTGCAACCCACAACATACCAACAATTGTGGCACCCAATGGGCTATTTGGAAAACAGTTTTACATTTTGTTGGTGTGTGTGCTTTTTTGAGTTCAAGCTTTCAAAACTCAGTTTTCAATATATCATTCGACTCCAACATCTCGTCTCATTGGTCCATTTAATTTAGGTTTTAATTTCTGTCATTACACATTTTTAAAAAATCGAATTTGCTGCTTTTTACAAAAGTTGTAATTGGCTTTGGAACCCCAGTTACGAAGCGAAGTCATTCGTTTTAAAAAGGCCATATTTACTCAAAAGGGAGATGACCCTGAATGTAAGACAATCCCCTTAAAAGTGTTATATACACACACACACAAATTATTATTGGACATAACTGTATCTTGTATGTGAATATAAGATGAATATCCTCTTTTATCTGATGGCACACCTGGGGGGGAAAACCCTAGCTTGCGTTTGAGTAAACACTGTAGGTATGTTCCAAGGTCCATGAGCAGTTGTTGCTATGTTTATGCATATTTATGGCAAGGACGTTAATCATCATCAGTGCTACTAAAACAAGAACACTGGGTTCCTGCCACTGCCTTACAATCAAACATGCAATTCATAAAAGGGATTTCTTTTTTTAAAAGGAGAGATTAAAATGATTAAAATGGACAGTATGCTGGTACAGACTGCTCAATTAATCCCAGGCGCCTTTGCCAGGAAGTGACAGACTTCTGTAACTGCTTATAAAATAGGGCCAAGATTGGGAAGGGGGGAAATTGACTTTTTTTAGAGGGCGGGACTGAAAGGGAGAAAAGATGTGATATAGTTGCAGCTTCTTCCCCCATGCTTCCCCTAAGCAGAGTTACAGCCTTAAAAGACAGTCAGTGCTTAGGAGGACTGCACTGTTCCCATCCTTAAGGCCATAGTTGTTTGCTTTTGGATAACAGTGCAATGTCTGGAGTGGGAAGAGCTAACCCCCAGGCTGCCTCCCTGTCCTGGAAACGCACAGGTCTCAAACTGATCGCTTATCAGATAATAAACTGGTAAAAATAGATCCTGTGCTTGATCTTGGGCCAGGGAAGCTGTTCCTCTGACAAGAGTTGCTGACCACAAGAAGTGGTAACACAACCACACCCAGCTTAACCACCCCTGCCTGGAAGAGGCGAGGCTCCAGATGAGCAGGGCCCCCCCCTGCCCAAACGGGTTCTATAACCAATCTTATTTGGTTATTATAAGACAAATGTCCTGTGTTTGTCATCAAAGAATACTAAGGCAGCTTAAAACAGTTAAGTAAGCAAACATCTACCAATTCCCGTCATAAGTAGATCCCAGACAGGAATAGGAACAAATAGGAAGAGGAAAAAAATCCATCATATAATCAACTGAAAGACCCCTATCAGCACAACTGGTAAAACCGATAATGGGGCCTCTGCCAACCTTACATCTCATAAGGTGGGCTCCTGTACCAGAGCACCACCAGGTGACCTCAGATCCTGAGCCGGTTTCATATGGGTGGAGGTAGGCTTGCCACCTCTGGGTTGGGAAATATCTGGAAGTTTTGGGGGTGAAGCCTGAAGAGCGTGGGTTATGGGGGGGGGACTTCAGTGGGGTATAACACTACAGATTGCACCTTCCACAGTGGCCGATTTTTTCAGGTGAACTTATCTCAGAGAGCCAGTTTGGTGTAGTGGTCAAGTGCGCGGACTCTAATCTGGGAGAACCGTGTTTGATTCCCCACTTCTCCACATGCAGCTGCTGGATGACCTTGGGCAAGCCATAGTTCTGTCAGAGCTGTTCTCTCAAGGACAGTTCTCTCAGAGCTCTCTCAGCCCCACCTACCTCACAGGGCGTTTGTTGTGGGGAGGGGGAGGGAAAGGATTTTGTAAGCCGCTCTGAGACTCCGAGTGAAGGGCGGGGTATAAATCCAATCTCTTCTTCTCTGTCACTTGGAGATCAGTTGTAAAAATGGGAGATCTCCAGTCACCACCTGGAGGTTGGCAGCCCTAGGTGGAGGAGATCCATCATGTCCTTGGGGCCCAAGCCATTTGGGGCCTTACAGGTCAAACACCACACTTTGAACTGGGCCTGAACACAAACTGGAAACCAATGCTGTTTCCGGCCTTACATGTTCATTAAGGGGAGAGCTTGTTTAACAACTCTCCTGTCAACTGAGATTTATGGACCATCTTCAAAAGCAGAGGATGGTAATCTAATCTGGATGCCACCAAAGCATGTGCAGCACAGGCCACATCCAATCAATTTCAGCTGTAAGACCTATCAGCTGTAAGGACCTCCTTGTTGCACAAACCATCTACTGTCCCTTGGATCATGTGCCTTATACCGTACAAAGGAGCCCTCAGTGTTTCGCCTTCTTGAGATTCCTCCTGATAGGAGCAGAAGGTCTACGATGACAGCCAAGCCCATGTTCAATTTGTGGATATGCATGGCCGCAGGGAAACTCATCCACACTGACCATAAACAGTTCCCTGGCTTGCATCTGAGCTGCAGGTGCTGGCCTGATTCGTAACCGTGCCTCATCCCTTTGGAGACAGGAACAGAAGTTGTGGTGGCACCAGAAAACTTGCCGACAGTCTGTCAGGCACTTTGGAAGGACACAAAAGATGTTCCCCTTTGTTGTCATAAACAGCACCGTGCAAGAAGGAAGCAGGTAACTGCTCGTTAGTTATTTACACTATGTATGTTCATGGAATTATAAAGAACAACATCAGCAAGGCAGGTCCCGAGGAACTTACAAGCTAAAGGCAAACATGGAAGGCAGTAATGGAAGCAGACCAATTGATAGAAGAAAGGTCCATCGATGGCAGCTAGTTGCTGGGGAGTTGAAGCAACAGGGGGAGATTTTGGCCTCTCTAGCCCTGCTTGCAGCTCAGTGGCAGAGCACTTGTTTTGTGTGTAGAAGGTCCAATACTCAATCCATGGCACCACCAATTAAAGGGTCTCAGAGCTGAAGGTGCTGCCCAAAATCCTGGGAACCACCACCAGTGTCAGAGGCAGGGGTCGTTTCGTAGAAAAAGAGCTAGGGGAACTCATTAGCATATGCCACACCCCCTGTCATCACCAGAAGTGTGTCATAAGGCCACACCCCCTGACATCACCGGAAGTGTGTCATAAGGCCACACACACCACCCCCAAAGGTCCCGGCCGCCGCTGGCGGCCTTGCAGCTCCACTGCCGAGCCCCATCAGGGGGGCTTCGTCATGTGCCCCGCCCCCCGTACCTCACCCTGGGGAACTGCGATCCCCCCGAAATGACCTCTGGTCAGAGGAAAGTATATGCGGGCCCCGTTCACACGGAGGATTTGCTGTGCTAAAGGCACGAATGCCAGGCGGATTTTCGGGGCGCGATCACACCGCAACATCTGGGAAGCGTAGCGCACCCGTGGCCAACCTGTGGCATCCCGCCAAAGATGCACAGTAAAAAACTACCTCGGAAAGTGCACTAGTATCCGGAAAACGCGGGGCAGGGGCGGGTGTCTGATTGCGGGAGCGCTAGTAGCCCGTGGCATCTGGCGCCCGTCCATGTCCCGTCGCAAACCGGATGTTTTTCGTAAACTCATGCGCACAAACACCTAACTGAAAGCAGTGCTGCTCCGCAGAACTGGGCATGCGCACAAACGCGAAACGCTTGCCGTGCCACTTTTTTGCCATGCTCCAGCATCGCCGTGTGATCGCCAGCTAACAGCATAAACGCGGAGACTCGGGGGACCGTGTGACCGGGGCCGAGGTCAGACAGACCCACAGTCTCACTCAGGACAGGATGGCTGGCTCAAGAGCAGAAGAAGCAATACAACAATCTCTCCACCTACCCTAGTGAAGTCTTTCATCTCTTTGAATACTGAAGGCCACCTACTTATGGGAGGAAACACAACTCAGCGGAAGATCACACACTTTGCACGTATGTCCCCAGATATCTCCAGTTACAAGTTCTGAAGCAAGCTGATGTTGGGAAAGACTTTT